GAAGTTGTGGCATCCTTTAGAGAATAATCCAAGGCCGACCTACAAGAGCTTATTGTAAGCATTCCGCTCTTTAGCCATGTTAGTTCGCTCACCCAATTCGGAATGGGAAACAAACCATCCATGCTTGATTTAGTGATCACGAACGAAGAGCTCATGGGTAAGAAGCCAACGATGCAGAGCCGTTGAGGGGTGAGTGGTCACGTAATAATACTTTACTATTATGTGTGTTATGCGGAGTATCCACAAGAACATAGTGACTTGTTTCGAACAAGCACACTGTGACATACACACAAAACTTGTTGGAGACGCCACCGTGGAGTTTTCGGAAGACTGTTCCACTGATACTGCTTAGATGTGGTTTGCTGGCGAGTTCAGTGATCTGATCAAATGGGCATAGGAAAACAGACGACTTCGTTCTGCAAAAGCACTATCGCTCGATCGGAGAAAAACCCGAAAAAGCATGGCGGTAAGAGACGAGGCGTCGCGTATGTAGTGCGGATCATAGCCCTGACAACTGAAGCAACTATGTAGTGCAGCATGATCACTGTACCGCACTTGTTCGTGGGGACAAATTAGTACACCTGCAGAGCCTAGCGGTAAAGTTTTGCGCTAACAACCTTCTGTACAAACATGTGAACAGCCTCTGGAAAGTGAAGCGTAAGGTTCCCCCACTCATCTCAGCGAAATGATGTGCTCAAACCGCTGAGGATGCAGCCAATGTTCTAGCGCAACAATATACTTCGGTATTCAACGCACCACCAACATGCGTCACATACCTGTCCTATTCCCCAGAGGTGGATAGTTAAACACATCACTTTCAGTTCAGCGACCGTATTGAGGAAGCTGTTATTGTTGCGCACATAGTTTCCCAGGAGTTGACAACATTCCTCGAAAACATTGCGGGTGGCAGCTGTTAGGATAGCTGAGCCATTAAGATATTTTTCCAAAGATACCTGGATGAACAACAGGTTTCTAGCGTGTGTAAACAGGGTATAATTACCCCGAAAAGGCCGATTGTGGGATTGACATTGATGTCATATACCGCGACTTTTCTAAAGCCTTCGACCGCTTAGATCGCCAAGTGCTTCTCCAAGGATTGCAAACATGCGGAGATGGGAACCCTGTCCTTGGGTGGATCAGTGACTTCAGATTCTGGGCTCATTTTCTGATCGCATGGTAGTGGGCTGCGGTGTTACACAAAAGCCAGTGTTGGGGGTGCGCTTATTCTTGGTCTTCATTAACGATCTTGTGTGTTCCATCCAGTTGAAATTCCTGCTTTTGCCGATGATTTAAAGATATGGCGGGCAATCGGAGGTCAGGAAGATCATGATCTGCTACAACGAGACTTGGACCGAGCTTTTGAATGGTCAAAGGCAAACCAACTTTCGTTCGACGCGGGCAAGTGCAAACCGTGCACGGACGCCACAAGCCCACTAACGCAATACAAGCTTGAAATCCACATCTTGGAGGCCGCTTCACAGGAGCATGACCTTGGGGTGGTGATGCCAGACAACCTCGGCTGTTTGACGCAGTCCAAAACTGTGAAGCAACATTTTGGTCTCTTATGGAGGGTGTTCGAGCGGTTCGACTCCTCCACACTTCCCAAATGCTCAATGCGTATGCGAGGCCATGTGAAGTAAGCGATTCAGACCTGGCAATCCTGGTTAAGGCGCGATCTGGTTGAACTAGAGACCGCATAGTGAATGGCAACCAAAAATGTAAATGGATCGTTCCACCTGCCATACTATCTGCAACTGTAAACTTTAGAAGTGCACAGCGGAAGTTATCGCCGTTTACAGAGCGACCTAATTCTGGTGCACGAGATCTTAAAAAACCCCAAGTACGCTCGCCGCCACCTTCTGAAACTTAGCCGCAACAGGAAACTGGGGGTCCCCAGCTGAAACTGTCCACCCAATACAGTCGGCTGGAACAGCGATGGAATTATCTCTGTGTTGGGATTTACCCCCCTAGAACGCTCTTTCGACTTTTGTCAATTCTGCACCCACGCTACCCCTTTTTGAAAAGTGATAATGCATTGCGCCAACTGCATTAATTGATGTGATTTCTGTTTATCGAGTGACGACAAGACGCGGACAAACATTGTGCTCACTATTCCCCACGAAATCAGGGTAAACGAATTTACTCGTACGTTAACGTGGGTATTATGGTGAGTCCACAGATGTGCGTTTCATTTCTTTTTGTACTTAGGTAGTTCATACAAATCCTCCTACGGGGTCTGTCAAGTCGTAGCTTTTTCCATCGCTATTATGCCATTGTTCTAAATGCTACCGTTCACTGAATGACCAATCCCGAATCAGCAAATAGCATCCCACCCTGTGTATTCATCTATCCTACTATTGGCTGATCTGGACCCGGTCACTCAACGAACAGTACGTATCTTGTGGCAGTGTATGCGTCCGTTGGATGCAATTGGACAGTGTTAGGGACCATCGTGAGAGATCCACGGAGAAACACAATTTCCTTAAGAAGGAATTTGAAAGTGCTATGGATGTAATTGGCTGATAAAAAGTATAGAGAAATTGGCGTAACATAAAGGAAAAAATTATCGACAAGTGCGTTGGCATATGAAAGGGTGAGTAACAATAGAAGCCACACTAAACACAGTGATCATGTTCTGTAATTACTTGTAGTGCTCAAAAAAATCTCTGGCCCTAATGGAACAGTGATACGCAGAAAATGCTTGTATAGTAAGATAACAAAAAGTCTCGTCATTGAAATTCCCGGTCCAACGACAAATAAACCAGTCAGATCCAGTTCAGATGGCCGACTACGAGTAGAGCTGCGACGTGCAAGAGCGTCAGTTGCTATGACTAGTGACGCTCTAATTGTAGAAGGAAAAACAGTAAGTAGCAAAAAAGGTAAAAAGATACTCCGGGGGAAAAGTTTATATGATTGTAGGAAAAATATATAATCGTTAAATGAAGTCAGTGGAAGAAACAGGAGACTACAAGCAACGACGCCAAGGACACCGTAAATGCAACACATTGGACAAAGTCTCCGATGGCAGATGTGGCTGATCCCCATGACTCATCCCGGTTAGAGTACAAATTGTCGGTTGGTTTACCTGAGACAACACCTAAACGGCAGCAGCGTTCTAAAATAACACATGCCCAGACAAATGGCCAACAGGTAGAGGAGAAGCATGTTCAAATCAATGTATGCGATCCAGGCGCGAAAGATGGTATGTGATGAGTCATGCGTTTTGTTGTTTAAAGCGAACTGCTGAACATATGCATGTTGGGCCTTGGATATCGCGTGGAGTAATGCGAAGGTTGTGTTGAAAGGAGAAGAAGCTGGGAAAAGTAGTCCGGTTGGCACGTGACAGACTATACTGGCCGTTAGTAATAATAATAATAATAATAATAATAATAATAATAAGTGTCCGCTGTACACCGTAACGACACTCCGTCGCCGTGAGACCACCACTAGTCGCAAGCGGGTTGAGTATAGCGCGAGGATGTCCACCCCTACGCGGATTCGAATCGACGCCGCAAGATTACGTGACAAGCTCGTTACCTCTAGGCTACGGGCCGACACACTGGCCCTTATTGTCGGTTCGATGACCGCCAAGAGAAAAACAGCCTATGAGAGGTTAAGTATTGGATAAGTAGTCCGTCCGAAGATGTACGCCATTGGAAACCAGCATGAGATACACTTACTTGACCATATAAGCAAGAAATTGAAGACAAAGATGGCGTTAGCCGTTGATGACTACTGAGATGCGCGCCGCAGTGGCATTTGCGGGAATAACGAAAAAACACTACACTGTTACGGGTTGCCTAGTAGGTTTGACGGGGCAACAAGTCGAACCGCATTCGTGCGGCTGTTCATTGGAGTAAGTTAGATAAGAATGGATTCAAGCTTCCTGCATAGTGCCGCTCCGACAGTGTCAGGCTCCCGGGATAACGAATCGACATCACCGGAGAGGCGAAGGAAATGGTTATCGTCGTTAGAGCTTAAGCCAAGTAGTTGGGTGTGCATTAGGAAGCCACCGCATTGTATGCGTGTTTCGAGAATACAGTATACATCAACCTCGAGGTAGGTCAGATAAGGAGCTAGTGTAGCCTGTTTGCCGAGTTAACAACGATGAATTCAAGGGTCAATATATTAGTGCATTGTGGGTCTGAAAGACGATCTAGTACCGTCATAAGTAAGGTTGGCGAAGTCTAGATCTCATGCTGCCTAACATGGAACGGGGAGACTTGAAAAGGAGCGGCAACAGAGCAGAGATCATTGGTGACGGTAATGTTAGACGGTGACAGGCCGCGGTTATTCAATAAGAGAGATGTTCCAAATTTTTCAGCTAGTCTGGGGCTAAGAAATCTGACCATCGGCATATGTGACACTTGACAAGCGTCAGGCAAGGAGATTTAGTAGTGCACGGAAAATGTCATTTATAGCGAAGAGTGCAATTGACATGTGCCTGGGATGTGCATGAAATGGACAGCTGTGTGCTCACGGAGTTACACCATACGCTCTTCGGTATCGGTAGCTGTGGTTAAGTCGTGCCGCGACAGATACAGCGCATCTTTAGTTACTTTAGCGAGTTGGTGATAACAGACTAACACTACAGCATCTGAAGTAACTTATGAACAAGTAGGCTGGTCGGTTGATGAGGGTTCATCCTCGGTTGTGTCCGAATTAAAACGACCAGAAGTGCAGGTAGCGATGATGAAAAGATGCATGCTTTCCCCGTATAATCCTCATACCTTGAAGGAAATAAGTGTAGGATTAAATAATCATGGGTCGAAACAGAAGTTGAATTGAGTTGAGCAAAGAAACCACAAACAACGTCCGTACTTATCCACCACAATAGTAAAGGCGAGGTAGAGCAGCTACTGCAATGAACCTGGCAACGGACTGTTAGACAATGAAAGTCCGAGCTATACGGATCCCTTATAATGTCGTAGATAATCTAGAAGTTAGTTAACTCAAATGAAACAGAAACAATTCACGTAAGGATTTAGGGTAACATGTACTTACCGTCTCCGCTTGCTGCCTGCAGGTGTGCGGTTGTTGTCGTCAGATACGGATGGAACAGGGCCAGTTGGCGCGGCTACGACGAAACTTTCTGTCGGAGGGGGTAAATGTCGAGCAATGTCAAACGAGATTGAGGATGCGCTTGTTGGTGGAGAGGGAAAGATATGTCTTGTTGGGGAGATCGGTGCAGTGCATACAGACTCCTCACTGGGGATAGAACTTGGAACAGCTACGGTGAAACACGCTGGAGATGTGCTCGGCGTACACGTTCGCGGAGGCGTATCAGATGGTTTGCAAGACACATCAGATGATGGACAAGACGTGGAAGCTGGTGAGCAGGGTGCATCTGGTATACACTCGTTTTCAGTGACAAGGCAAGCGTCGGTGGTAGGCCCCGATTGTCTGCTGAAATCAGACAGTTCTGTCACATTTTCCACTGAGCACGGAGGATCTACAATGGAGGTGGGTTTCTGATCCACCGACGCGCTGCTACCGGAGGAACTAAGCGGGGAGCGGCGGATAAAGCGAATCACAGGTCTCGTCAATGACGTTGGGATGGGAGGGTCCGATGAACCGGATGATAACGACGATGTCTGATTGACGAATGTGTTGTTATCTAAAATAGAGAACAAGCAAGCACAAACTACGGCTTTTCGCTTGCCAAGTACAAGCAAGTTGAATAAAAAATCCAAACAACGCGGCACCAATGTGAGCAATGAAGACGTATCAATAGATGGCAAGTAGACGTACAGTACTCGAGTGACAAGTGATGGTCGATGACCAAGCGAAAGAATGCTGGTCGTCCAGGTAGATCCCGATAACCAACAGGTCTGATTGGTAAGCAAGCAGTTCACGCCCGGATAAAGTAGTTCTGTATCAGAATACATCACCATAAAAACAGTAGACAATTTGTGAAGTGGGTGGAAAAAATGGCAAACGGAAAGCAAACGTGCTGACGGTAATCTACTCAAATGGATACTTGTAAACAGTGGAATGTGTGCGGTTCGATTTCGAACATCTACTAGGGGTAATAAGCAAAGTCTCAAGACAATGTGCTATTCATCACCTCAGCTTATGCTCCTACTGACTGCACATTCGGTGGAAGGCGATTTCTATCGTCAGAACACTGATATTGTGGTTATTACTTGTGATGTAAATACTCAAATGAGCCGTTATAGAAATATGAAAAACACCAGAGACGCCGTTTCGGGGCTAATGCATACCGAGCAGACAATGGCGATCGATTCCAACAACTGTGTCGAACCCAGTCTGTATAATAACAATACTGCTTTCGAGCACAAACGTTCACATTGGGTCACCTGGCACCCACTGAATTTCTCGATGATCTGCACTCAAATGGGCCATACTTCCACCAGCTACGGTAGCGCACATCGGTTTAGGAGTGTCAGCAAAACTAGTGGGTGTGTCTGGATGCCAACCATGCTCCAGTTCGCTTTAGTCAAGCGCCGCAACGCAACAATATCATGGCGAACTATCCCACCAACTGTCAGTGCTGAATGGGGTTTGGAGCCGAACCCTGACTGAATCGTCTCAAGTGTGCTTTGAATAATGCTTTTGACTTCTGCTGTGCGTCCAACTTGAGACGACCCAACTGTGACTGGAGATCCCAAACATCGACCAGTTTGGTCCATGCACGAAAACGTGCTCCGTTGGCTACTGAGTTTCGGTGTGTCCGTAACTCCCTGAAACGACGTCTGACAAGGAGTCTTCCAATCGATCGGGAGCACTGGGGAAAATCAATGATATTGGGAAAAGCCGAATACTGTTCCAGTTCATCTGGAACACGGGTCTAAGAAAATAGCTGATGGGCAGTTGATCCATTCACAGAGACGTAGATTAGTCCGCTAGGCAGGACATTATGATGATCAGCTCAGCAGGTCTGTTGCGACTGTCGCTCAAAGAAACGCCTGCGCGGAGGCAGGAAGTTGATGTCACATTTCCTACTTTAGAAGAGATTCATCACGAGTTGGCCGCTTTGGAACAAAACAAAGCTCCTAAACCCGACGACCTTGCTCCATATTTTCCGAAAGATGGAGGTGACCCTTTGTTGATAAACTTGCTGCTCTATGCAACACGACATAAGACCCTGAAGAAGTGTCTACAAACTGACGACTGTCAACAGGTGTGCTCACCTTCAAAACAATCAAAGGACTTTGCGCGAAAATCATCGAGGCGTTACAGTACTTTTTATCGCCGCCAAACTTCTCACAGGTATGATCCTTCGACGGGTGAACCGAGTCAATATATATATATATATATATATATATATATACCATTTTCACTTTAAACTGGACATTTTTCAAACCAAACTGGACATTTTGCAAACCAAACTGGACATTTTGCAAACCAAAGTGGACATTTTGCAAAACAAATTGGACACGTTGCAATCTAAGTAGCAACTCGCCAATTTGTTGGTAAGAAACGAGCAGTAAGACTGCTGAATGATGTTCAGCATATACATTGTGATGACGCTAATACACCGGCATTGTGTAAGCAGCGGGCTACACTGTAAAACATTTGCTTGATCGTGAGCAGCGACCGAAGTTCTGAACTACGCTCCCCTCTCCCCATTGACATTCGCCTAGTTGGTGTGCAGTGCCCATACGCATCAACCTGTGTTGGTGTGTGACAATTGGAAAATCGGACTTCCGAATCGTAATTGTGTATCAATCATTTTGTGAGTGGATTGCGATGCGCAATCTCAATGTGCATCGTTATTCTCATTAGAGAGAACCTTGTCCGATTCGGTCAATGGGACCATGTCGGATGAAGCAGGTAGGCGGTGTCCCAGCTTCGCCCGTCTCTCTATTAGCTTTCTCAACTGCCACGTTATTGTATCAGCGTAGGCTGTAATGACCCCCAGCAAAACCAGTCTAGATCTATAGCCTATTGTTGCAACATATCAACTACTGAGGAGTGGGCCGATTACACGATGTTCAGGCCACATTGTGATCACGATAATGTAACCGAACTGCGTACGTAGCGGGTGATTGTGTAAGCCCTTCTCTTGACATGAGTGCCGTTCGCCTCGGTCAAAATCGGTGACCTATTTTCCCCTACACCCCCCCCCCTCATAGGAATTCGTGTGTTTTGTCTGGGTGTGTGGACCGACCTATGCAGCGGTACCACTATTGGAGCCGAGCATACGATAATGGTTTCACTTAACCCAACTTAGCTTTATTAGCTCCGTGCCGCACGAAACGACCAAAATGAGTGACGAACAACAGGAGAGCTGGTGTCCGACGCGACGGCATTGCAGGCGAACATCATTTGCGCAAAGAGAAATTCTCACAAAACTTGTGCTGGTCGACGGCAAAACTAGTCGGGAAGCCGTTGAAGTCGCCGGTGTTAACGCGAGTACGGCAAGGAACATCATTAATGCCTTCAAGCGAGAAGGCTCAAATACACAGCGCACCTGCGGTGGAAACAATATGGAGAAGCTGACTCCCAATGTATTGCAGCGCGTCGAAGAAGCGGTTGAACGGCACTCTGAGGACACGTTGGTGCAGTTGCAGATGCGTCTGAGAGAGAATGGGATAAACCTATCAGTATCCTCTGTCTTCGACGCCCTCAGAAGACTAAAGATAAATCTCAAAAAGTGTCATTACGAGCTCGACCGAGTCAACGGTGCCACGACAATCGCTAGCCGACAGGCGTACGCTCTCGAATTCTCGGTGACCGTCCTGCTCTTACACGCTAAGCCAACTGTTAATATTGAAAACGCACATTTTGAAATTGAAATGGTGTATTAACAAAAAATAAGGCAGTAACCATAGCAAAGATCAGTTGACGAAGGGTTGTCCGGCTGTCGCTTTCGTCAGGTTCATCATTGTATTGAGAACGCAGTTCATGCAGTCCTGCTGCGTTACCATCCCAACGCTGTCCTGAATGACCGTGCTCAGCGTCTGCTCAGGTGTGGGGTTAATAAGCAGGCGTCTCGCCGACGCTTTCACCTTCGAAAAGACGTGTTTTTCCGGGTTTAGCATGTACGAGTAGGGCGGCAAGAACTGCAGGTGATAAGACGAACCAAGGATCCTCCTTAGCTCATCAGGCAAATGGATCCTGGCATTGTCCATGATCAGCCACGCGCCGTTCATCTCCACTATGCAGCTTATACGCGCCACCAGTTCCTCGACGAACGCTGAGAACTTCGCACCATTGCAGGTGCCATTGTTAATGATCTTTGAAAGGATGACGCCTTGGTTATTCATTGCAACAATCAGGGTTACCATGCGACCTCTGACTGTGGGTAACACGACGTTCGCACGCGTCCCTCTTCTTGAGCGAGCCTGAGTACGCCTCAGATGAAGGTTGAAACCATTCTCATCTATGAAGATGCATTTCTCCTTGTTAAAAGGTGCATGTGCCGAGAACTCGAGAGCGTACGCCTGTCGGCTAGCGATTGTCGTGGCACCGTTGACTCGGTCGAGCTCGTAATGACACTTTTTGAGATTTATCTTTAGTCTTCTGAGGGCGTCGAAGACAGAGGATACTGATAGGTTTGTCCCATTCTCTCTCAGACGCATCTGCAACTGCACCAACGTGTCCTCAGAGTGCCGTTCAACCGCTTCTTCGACGCGCTGCAATACATTGGGAGTCAGCTTCTCCATATTGTTTCCACCGCAGGTGCGCTGTGTATTTGAGCCTTCTCGCTTGAAGGCATTAATGATGTTCCTTGCCGTACTCGCGTTAACACCGGCGACTTCAACGGCTTCCCGACTAGTTTTGCCGTCGACCAGCACAAGTTTTGTGAGAATTTCTCTTTGCGCAAATGATGTTCGCCTGCAATGCCGTCGCGTCGGACACCAGCTCTCCTGTTGTTCGTCACTCATTTTGGTCGTTTCGTGCGGCACGGAGCTAATAAAGCTAAGTTGGGTTAAGTGAAACCATTATCGTATGCTCGGCTCCAATAGTGGTACCGCTGCATAGGTCGGTCCACACACCCAGACAAAACACACGAATTCCTATGAGGGGAGGGGTGTAGGGGAAAATAGGTCACCGATTTTGACCGAGGCGAACGGCACTCATGTCAAGAGAAGGGCTTACACAATCACCCGCTACGTACGCAGTTCGGTTACATTATCGTGACCACAATGTGGCCTGAACATCGTGTAATCGGCCCACTCCTCAGTAGTTGATATGTTGCAACAATAGGCTATAGCTCTAGACTGGTTTTGCTGGGGGTCATTACAGCCTACGCTGATACAATAACGTGGCAGTTGAGAAAGCTAATAGAGAGACGGGCGAAGCTGGGACACCGCCTACCTGCTTCATCCGACATGGTCCCATTGACCGAATCGGACAAGGTTCTCTCTAATGAGAATAACGGTGCACATTGAGATTGCGCATCGCAATCCACTCACAAAATGATTGATACACAATTACGATTCGGAAGTCCGATTTTCCAATTGTCACACACCAACACAGG